GGAACTTGGGCAGGAGCACTTTTGCCCTCCGGTGGACCGATTCCGCCGAGGGAACTTCCCTCCAGGAGGGAGAAATCATCGTCATCATCATCACCAATAACCCCTCTCATCTTGGGGAGGCCAATCTTCATCAACATCTTCACCAGCACCATCTCGTCTCAAACCCTAGTTCATCTCTTGTGTTCAATCTTTGTACCGGAATCTCAGATTGGTACCTGTGGGTGACTATACATCTTGTAGTTGATCACTATATGATTTATTTGGTGAAAGATTATATGTTCAGATCCATTATGCTATTTAATACCCCTCTGGTCATGAACATGTTTATCACTTGTGAGTAGTTACTTTTTTTATTGAGTTCACGGGAGAAATCATGTTGCAAGTAATCATGTGAAGTTGATATGTGTTCGATATTTTGATAATATGTATGTTGTGATTCCCTTAGTGGTGTCATGTGAACGTCGACTACATGACACTTCACCATATTTGGGTCTAAGGGAATGCATTGTGGAGTAGTTATTAAATGATTGGTTGCTAGAGTGACAAAAGCTTAAACCCTAGTTTATGCACTACTTCATAAGTAACTCGTAAGGACCGATTTGGATCCAAAAGTTTAATGCTATGGTTAGATTCCATCTTAATATTTTTCTCGTAGTTGTGGATGCATGCGAGGGGGTTAATCATAAGTAGGAGGTATGTTCAAGTAAGAACGACACCTAAGCAACGATCCACCCACATATCAAATTATCAAAGTATGGAACACAAATCAAGCCAACATGGTGAAAGTGACTAGATGAAATTCCCGTGTGCCCTCAAGAACACTTTGCTTATTATAAGAAACTGTTTTGGCATGTCCTTTGCCACGAAAGGATTGGGCTATCTTGCTGCATATTATTTGTTGTTACCGTTACGTGCTCGTTACAAATTATCCTACTACCAAATTATCTGTTACCTACAATTTCAGCGCTTGCAGACATTACCTTGTTGAAACCCACTTGTCATTTCCTTCTGCTCCTCGTTGGGTTCGGCACTCTTACTTATCAAAAGGACTACGATTGATCCCCTATACTTGTGGATCATCAGTGCGTCAGGCCCAATAAGGCCAGGGCACCTCCCCGCAGCCCGTGCTAGCCCTTGGGTCGTGGTGGACCCACTTGTGGACTTTCGGACCCCTCCGGAATCCTCTGGAACCTTTTGGAAGCTTCCCGGTACAATACCGAAAAAACTGCACATTTTTTCGAAACCCAAAATATGACTTCCAATATATAAATATTTACCTCTCGACCATTTCGAGACTCTTCGTGATGTCTGGGTTCTCATCCGGGACTCTGAACAACATTTGGTTACCACTCATCAAATATCTCTATACTACTCTAGCGTCAACGAACATTAAGCGTGCGACCCTGCGGGGTCAGGAATTATGTAGTCATGACTGAGACACCTCTCTGGTCAATAACCAATAGCAGGACATGTATGCCCATATTTATTCACATATTCCACGAAGATCTTTTATCAGTTGAACCATTATGACAACATATGTAATTCCCTTTGTCTGTCGGTATGTTACTTGCCCGAGATTCTATCGCTGGTATCTCTATACCTAGTTCAATCTCATTACCATCAAGTCTCTTTACTTGTTCTGTAATACATCATCTTGCAACTAACTCCTTAGTCACTTTGCTTGCAAGCTTCTTGTGATGTGTATTACTGAGAGGGACGAGAGATACCTCTCCGATACACGGAGTGACAAATCCCAATCTCGATTCACGCCAACTCAACAGATACCTTCGGAGATACCTATAGAGAATCTTTATGATCACCCAGTCACGTTGTGACGTTTGATAGCACACGAGGTATTCCTCCGGTATCCGGGAGTTGCATGATCTCATGGTCGAAGGAACATGTATTTGACATTAAAAAAGCAGTAGCAATAAACAGAACGATCATATGCTAAGCTAATGTATGGGTCTTGTCCATCACATCATTCTCCTAATGATGTGATCCCGTTATCAAATGATAACTCATGCCTATGGTTAGGAAACCTTAACCATCTTTGATCAACGAGCTAGTCTAGTAGAGGCTCACTAGGGACACGATATTTGTTTATGTATCCACACATGTATTTAAGTTTCTCATCAATACAATTCTAGCATGAATAATAAACCTTTATCATGATTGAAGAAATATAATAATAATCATTTTATTATTGCCTCTGGGGCATATTTTCATCAACGTTATCCTCTGGAAGACCCATACATAAGCGCCTTTTTTCGTCGGAGCTAGTCATGATTACGGGACCAACAGGCTTGCCACGCCACGTCGGCATCCTTGGTCCATGACACTTCGGCCACCGCGGGGTTTGCAGCTTAGAGATAAGTGAGCGTCTTCCTGCAGTGCAGGCCGGACCATGAACCCGTCCAGTCCTCGGGCCGCCCGACAGGAAACAGTGCGGCTCTTCAAGGACAAGTCCGGGCTTCACACCACTGAGGTTGTCGCGGCATGCACAGCAGGCACATCCTTGACACAGAACCACACCTTTCTTGAAGGACGACTCCAGCGTCCTTGTTTGTCAATTCGTCGAAGCGGCTGAGAGCGGGCGATGCACTTCACATCCCGCGCCTTGATCATCTACCGGGACACAAAGTGCCCCGTATGTTTGCAAAATGGCCTTCGAGATGGTCGTTCGGGACAAAAGGCGCTGACGACCGGTGTTCTTCGTTAAGGGCGAGTGATCAGGGATATCCACCGCCCTGCACCTTATTGGGTACGCTGGCCATAGAGAGTACCCAAAGAAATGGTGGACATCAACTAGGATCACTGGGAACGCCTCGGTCATCTACCTGGCGTGCCAAATGTCGGTTTCTAAGAACCTACATATGAGTTGTGAGCAACAACCCTTTGAGAGTTCGGCCATGGACTGAACACATCCAGCAATCCTAAGTCATGGATGAATGTGGTGGATGAACTACAGATGAACGCAAGGAACTACCCACGTTCGGGCCACCTTCTTGGTGTAATACACTACTCCTGCATTGTATTGTATTGCACTGATATGGAGCTACAATGTGTTTGTTACGAGATGAGAAGTTCGCTCTGTGTTGCTTCCGAGCCCCCTCCCCCAAGATCGACCCCATGTGGGGCTCCGGTCTCCCTATTTATAGCGTCGAGGGAGGCCTTGCCGGAGGTCTTGACTGGTTGAATATATATATTCGAGTGGACTTGCGTAGTCTGTACCATGGGGCATGGTCGCCCATGGCACGCTTGTACGAGTGATGATGACGTACTTCCGGGGCAGTGTGTTACCCCCCGACACTTACCTGCCTCCTTTGGTATTCGTCGGGCGGTGGTGAGGTACCACCATTGTAGTGCGGTGGACAGTAGGCGAATATTATCGCGACCGCCATAGATGCCTTGATGCACACGGATTCCCTAGGAGCATACGTGGGAGGTTCGGTCGCACTCCCTCATTCCGCCACCTAGCATCAGCAATCGTCCTTCAGGGATGGGTCGTTGTTCGTCTGCCTTGGAGACGAGGTCTTCCTTCCCGGGTGCGTCAGTGCACCCCTCCCGGAGAGGCCCCACGAAGAAAGCGCGGAGCACAACCTACAACATTTCCTCGGGGCGCTTCGCACAGGCGTCGGGCAAAGTCCGCCAGATATTGCAGAGTTCTTTCAAGACCTTCTCCTTGTACACATATAGTCCGATTTATTTTTTAGGCCCGTTATACAAGATCATTATTGCCCTGGTTTATTTACCTCGACAGCAGCATCAAGCGGTGTTGGCATGGCGGCAATGGTGTGGGCGAGGCGGCGACGGCTGGCGCGGGTTGTATGGAGCGTGGCGGCGGCAGTGGGCGTGGGCGGTGGCAGCGACAGGTGTCGCCAACGAGGCAGCGTCAAGCAGTGGCGGCGGCGCGATGGCAATGCAACAGCTTTCCAACGAAGTTCCGGCGGACGGCGTTCCAGCGAACCACGCGCGAAAGTTTCAGATGGTTGCAATCCTGCCAAAAAGATAGGGGAAAGCCATCTTCTCATAAATCAGTGGGGATAAATGACCTCTTTTGCGGGATCCTCTAAATATAAAGCCACGGTTGGAGATGTTTTTTTTTGCCTCAACTTCCCGTAAACAACGGTTATTTTAGACATAGGAGAATTTTTGGAGTTGCTCTTAGGTTAGGTTTTTTTTTCAATTAGTAAAAAATGTTGTGCTTCTCATTGAATTTTCCATCAGCCAGTCACAGATGTGTTGATTAGGCGTATGATGCACTGTGAGCGGTAGATAGTTGGAACTGAATTTTTAGCCTGCAAATTATGAACTAAATCCATGTCGTGCCGCGATCTAATTTGATGAACTTTTTTCACATTTCGTGAACTTTTTTTTCTATATTGATGAACCTTTCTTTAAATTCGTGGTTTTTCTATATATGAATTCTTTTCAAAATTTATGTTTTCTTTTTTAAAAATAATCTATACTGGATATATAATGCATGTTATGTGCAGTATTTAAAGTTAAATAGTACAGTTTCCTGGTATTAGTCTGCAAAGTTGTGGCCGATCTAGTGATTACCACGGCAGGGAGTCACTCCGCGGGTGCAGAGTTCGATTCCCCTTCTCACAGAATTTTTTCTTCACGTTTCTTTTTCCAGCATGTTTTTTTTTTTGAGACAATCCAGCATGTTGGTGGGTCGGCCCGCTAGGCACCTCTCACGTTTCGTTTTCCAGCATGTTTTGGTGGGCCGGCCCGCTAGGCACCGCGCGTGAGCGCCGGTTTCGCTCTCTTTTTTTTGGCTATAGGGCTGTTTTCTCCTTTTCCGTCAAAAAGGCCCACGAGTGCGTTTCTCCTCCTCTCGTGGTCGGCGGCGGCTCCGATGCGATTTCATCCCCCTCCCCTCGTTCAAATTGCTGCAGGTAAATATAGAGTGAGTTTACCGAGAGGCGGAACGCGTATTTGGATTTCGTCATCCCGAGTCTCTGCCTCAGTCAACGTCGACATATCGAATCATGGGGCTGCTGGCGCTCCAGCGGCTCATGTCGATGCAGCGGGATCGGCGTCACCACCAGATCCAACCCCACCGCAGTAAGCTTCTTCTCTGTTTACGTCGCGTGGTTTCCGCGTAAAGGAATCGATCTTCACTGAGTTACGCAAAACTTTGCTTTATTTGCCAAACAAAAACATATCTTTTGTCTATCAGACGACACCCCTGATGGATTAGATTTAGACATGGATTTGAGGCGGATCGAGAACAAGAAATTGGGGAAAAGTATGAGACCACGAAGAACAGTGAGGAACTTGTGTATACAGTGTATGCAAAGGCATATTGATATATTCATTGGTATTTAATACTTATCTTAACACTTATTTTGAAAGGAGGGAGTATTTCGCTGAATAATTGATCGAATCCCTTTTCCTCTGATTACAGTGCCTTATACTCCCCCCATCCCAAATTACTTGTCCTAGATTTGTCTAGATACGAATGTATCTATACTTATTTTAGATTTGTCTAGATACGGATATTGCACCCCAGAACGTAAAAGCACCATCAAAATATAGATCAACGACCACTGTTGGTTTGCTTGCATCGCTTTCTATAGTAGCTACACTTTACCGAAAAAGGCTTTCGCCCCGCTTTATATATAAAGCAATGACCGACAACAACCCGGTACAAATGCATGCCACCACAACACACACCCAAGGCAGGATATAAAGGCGCTGAGCGCAGCAACACGACCCCTAACACTACAAAAACAACCAGGGACTCCAATAGTGACCACGCCACCGCGAAGAAATGAAGCCACATACGACGAACCGTGAGTTCCAAGACGATGCCTTCAGGAAGGTTACGACACCGGAGCGCCGCCACCGCCCGACCCGAGGATCAGAGTTTCCCCAGGAGCCACACGACTGGCAATGAGAGCCGCGACGACGCCTTCAAGAAGGGAACGAGCAACGCCGCCGCCGGTCCGTCCGAAGATAGAGCAGGTTTTCACCCCGGCCAACACTCACCGCCACCGAACGCCACACCCCGGCTACCACGCCACCCACACGGCCATGGCCGCCGGGCAGCACCGAGCAACGGGCTCTGCCCATGAGCACCATGCTACCACCACCGGGGCCGCCGCCCCGGCATCCAAGACCTCGACACCACCTCACTCGATACCCTCCACTAGTAGCTACACTTTTAGGCTCCTGTTCACACAGCTCAACGGCTAGAAGATAATTTTCATATATCACTTGCAACCTATAACCTGGACTGACAATTGACAGTATGCCAGGGTTCCATAGCAAATAAGATCTCCATAGATGTCAATCTGCTGCTCTCTCCTGCCATTGTTGACTATTGCATTGACTACCTTTTGAACTGGAGCAGTAGCTCTCAGATTGCTGCACACAGAACTTGTACAGATGGCTAGCTGCTGCATCTTCAGCTTCATGGTAAACTGAGTCTGACAAATTGTAACCATAGGCTCCAGAGTCCAGAGGGACAACAGTGATGGTGGTGTTGAGTGCCGCTAACCTGGGAATATTGGTGGTTGCTGCTGCGCCAGTGTTGTTCATGGTTGTAGCTGCAGGCGCAGAGATGATTAGCATGACTAACTTCGCTGGTGGGGACGACTCTTTGATTTTGGTCACTGACTTTGCTTCTGTCAGACGCGTAGCACTGCCCATGTGTTTTGTCAAACAGTTGGTATGCATCATGGCTGCCATGGTGGTTGCAGCAGCAGAAACGCTGATCTTAGGAGCGGTGGCGATGGGGGCTGCAGTAGCGGTTACTGTAGTAGGAAGGTTGCTTGTGCTTGTAGGCGTGGTGACGATGGCGGCAACGTGGGAGGTGGCAGTGCTGACTGCAAGAAGGGTCCACTTGGAGGCGTGTGATGACACAGGCAACAGTGGCGGCAGTGGTGCTGACTCAGCAGGGAATCCGCTTGGAGGTGGTGGTGGTTGCTGAGGCACTTGAGACATCACGGTTACAGTCCCAGATTGGCGGCTAACTGTTGCACCTGGTCCATAGTGGGAGACATCTCACTTGCCCATAGGGATCAGAGAGGTGGGGGCTGCGGGGGAGCGGGCTGAAACATCTTCGGTGGTGGCGGAGTTCGGATCAGACGAGGAATCAAACCACCACGTAACCTTGTCCCTCCGCAGTTAATCTTCCACAAGCTTCAGTTGATGTTTGAGAATCTTCACCATGGCCTTGTTATCTTGCTCCAAGCACCTCCACAACTTCTCCCTTTCGGGAGAACCACAAGGAATTCCCGTGTACCATGAAGCAGGGCCTCCAGTGGTCGGGGTCGCCCATGATTTTTGTCCACCATAAGCCATGGGGATGGGATTTGGGTTGGGGATTTTACAGTGCCAAGCACACCTCTAACCAAATTTCACCCAAATCAAGTCAATACCAAGGAAGGAGGTGTGGATCAAGAACAAGAAATTGGGGAAAAGTTTGGGATCACGAAGAACAATGAGGAACTTGTGTATATAGTGTATGGAATATTTTGCTGGATAGTTGATCGATACCCTTCTCTTGTGGTTACAATGCCTTATATAGAATAGGGAATTAAGAGTAACTTGGAAGCAAATGGAAAATGGGCAGTAGTAATAAGGGGAAACAGAGATAGCCGTAGATCTAGATAGAATTAAGAGTCATCTTAGCCATTCAAACCTCTTCCTTATACTCCCTCTAGGCCTCTAGTACCTGACACAAGAGCTCTTTTATTTGTTTGAGCTCCATGTTAAACTCTATTTCTACTTGGTCGGAAAAATAAAAGGAAATTGCACAAAACATAAAACCTTTGGGTTACTTGATGTGCAGAACCATGAGTTTTTTTCCTTGGCGCAAAACCACAATATCTACTCTGCACTTATGTCTTGCCACACTGACGTTGGCCAAGATGTCAGGTCCAGTGCAGTGTAAATTATTAGTTCTGAGATGGTGGATTCGCATGGAGGAAGAAAAAAACAGTGGTTCTGTGCAAGAAGTGACCAAAGATTGGTGTTTTGTGCGATTTTATAAAATGCTAATGTCTTGTGGCAACGGGTGGGAGTAGAATGATGAAGCGGAGTTTAGGTGATGTTTTGCAGATATACCTACATCTTATGCTTAATTGAAGTTTTATTTCCTTGTGCACAAGTTGGATAAGTAGAAACAAATTGGTTGTGCCTGTGCTTGTTGTTTCCTTATATTGACATCTTTTTAACCATGCACGGTGTGTTGCAGATGGATTGATTGCTTCATTGGCCAAAAGGAAAGAGTTGACCTGCCTACAAGAAGACAAACCTGGTGGTAAAAAATTGAGACGTTTAGGGCCAAGCCTTCCAGAGGTTCGTCATAAATTGCTGATATTTAACGATTGCTCTAGCTTCACATTGGCGGGTCTATGCTATGTAAATGCAAATATTACTTGATAAGGAGCAGACTTCCTAGGGCTACACGTTTATACTATACATTGTCCTGTTGTGATTATATTCACTATCTTTGTTATTTATATTTAGCAGAACCTTCAATCTGTAACCTGTCCTTAGTATTTTTCTCATTTAGATCTGGCACATGCCATCCTCGCCCAGCTGATAATCGAAGCATGACACACTATTTTCTATGAAGGGTGCTTCTTGATATTTGGTAGTTCAATAAGCGTTCCATTATGTGTCCACTATCACTTCCATCCAGAATCTGGGTGTCTATATCACCACTAGTTTGGATGTTGATGTTGTTTGAGACTACTAGTTCGAATGTTGATGTTGTTTGGGAGTCTATATCTAACCACTAGTTTGAAGTTTAAACGTATCGTAACTGATACATTTCTACACTGTTGAATGATTGCGCCATGATCTAGAGCATGCTTGGTTTAATGCTCAGTTTTGTTTTACCAAAAGTAGTGCAAAATAAAATTGAGGCAGAACAAATGTGAGTTCAAACATGGGTATTAGCAAACTTTAGAGAGACCAAGTGAAGGCCATTTTTTGCCCTAAGGTGCCTAGATTCCACAAGGAAAGATTGGAAGTTATTTAAGTGCTACTCTGAAAGCTTTCACTGTCTTCATGGTTTGGATTAAGGTGTTGATTTCATTACAGTGCTTCCTAACTCTAGTAAAAAATAAAGATTAAACTGCATATCCTAGTAACTGTAGAATGACATTCTATCTGGTCTGTGTAATTTGTTATCCTCTCACCTTAGTTACCAACACACATGTCACGTATCTTCACTGTAGCTGCTAGCGCTATTGCATTCTATTACACGGGCTTCTAGATATATTTATAAATATTCAGATACAATTATAATACTACTATTTAGTATTTGTAACCTAGCTGAAGTTACATGTTCAGTTATGCCTTTTGTTGTTGCAAAACTGACTTGTTTATCACGATTGTGCAACATACCACATCCAGTGCATCTTGTTTGACTAAAATGAACTAGCATTGTTGAATGTTGGTTACTTGATGCACATTTCGTGGATGGATTGCACATTACTTGATCCATATAAGTCACTAACAGCACTTCTTAGGAAAGCCACTAATAATAGTGTTGCGGGAAGGATCTTCTCTGCGCAATCCTCAATCTAACTGCTGCAATGCACTTTACTTTGCGGAAGCACCTAGTTCCGAATGGTACTCACTACGGCCTTATTTTTTCCTTTTCCAAATTGAAGCAACCGGTCTCCTCTACAAGTCCAATGTTGAACTTTTCTCTTAACACATGTGCGTGCAGGAAATCTGGGCTCATATACATTTCTCTGCTGTCCTTGCGAGATGCTGCACGTGCTGCCTGCGTGTCACACTTGTTTCAACGTTCCTGGAAATGCCATCCCGATCTCACCTTTAGTAAGGAAACAATCTTCAATGAAAACCTGTACAGAAAGAATAAAACATCAGATGAAACAACGAGCAATGGTGTGAAGGCACTCAGGCTTGTCAGGATAATTTACCACATTCTGAAAAACCACTCAGGCAATGGTGTGAAGGCACTCAGGCTTGAAATAGATGATGTTGCCAATATTAGCGCATGTTATCTTAATGATTGGCTTCACCTTGCTGTTAAGCCAGGGATTGAAGAACTTGCCCTTTTGCTGCATGATGACTTGGATTACAACTTTCCATACTCAGTTTTACTTAATGGGAGTGCAAACACAATTCGGGATCTTCGTCTCAGCAGTTGTGTCTTCCGTCCCGTGGCTGGATTTAGTAGTTGCCTAAGAAGCCTGACTAGTCTAGAATTGTCTGAAGTGTATATTACCGGGGACGAGTTAGGGTGCCTTCTTTCCTCTTCTTTTGCTTTGGAGGAATTGGTACTCGCGTATTGCAAAGAGATAACTTGCCTCAAGATACCTTGCGTGCTCCAACGGCTCAGCCAGTTGGTGGTCACTGACTGTGAAAACCTTGAAGTTATAAAGAGCAAAGCTCCTAATCTCACCGTTTTTGAATACACTGGTGGCGTAGTAGAAGTGTCAATTGGAGATGCGGTGCTAGACATTATGATTTCAGCTTCTGGTTGGAACGTTGTTCATTATGCTCGCGCCAAGCTTCCACAGATGGTCCCAAATCTTGAAACCCTTGACATAACCTCATCTTTGGCGGTAATACTCTAAAACTCTGGGTTATTACTGGCAATTTCCTTGGTATATTATTAATCTGAGTTGTTCTTTTTTTATACAGACAGACATACCGTTTTTACCTGGCAAATTCCTCCACCTCAAGCACTTGTGTATTTCTTTCATGGTATCAGCAGGGGCTTTTTGCCCAGACTATGATTACTTTTCTCTTGTTTCTTTTCTTGATGCTTGTCCTTCCTTGGAGACCTTGATGTTGTCTGTAAGTCATGTTCATCTTCCCAAGGATATCTTAGTGTCTATTGAAACAGTTAATTCAAGCACTTATCTTGTTTTTTCTCTGGTATGAGTGACATTGATATCTATCATGTGCAGGTAACACAAGAGATTGTAGAGCATGATTCAGTTTTAGGTGATTCCTCACATCTAAGGCAGATGCCAGGACACTGCCATGCCAGCATCAAGGATGTGAAGATCATCGGTTTCTGCTCTGCGATAAGCATGGTTGAGCTAACAGTCCATATTCTTGAGAACGCGGTTTCACTGGAGCGCCTTACACTGGACACTGTCTGTTATGATCTTAGGTGTTCGGATGGTGCTAGTAAATGCTCAGTCGGGCATAAAAATATGATCACAGAAGCCCATAAAGCGCTCGTGGTTGTGAGAAGTTACATCTTAGAGAAAGTTCCATCTACAGTTGAGTTAAACGTTGTGGGGCCTTGCAGCCAGTGCCATGCCGTTGAGAATTAATTGTCAAATTATCATGATTTTTTATGTTTAATCATGTATCGTTACATGTTCGTTTCATTAAGTTATCTCGCCGATTATTTCATCTAGTGATATAGTGTTATAGAACCGCCTCATGGACATGCTTCCAATGCTAGTGACATGGCGCTCGTTCTACCAAGAACTTCTGCAATGATCATCGAATATATAAATGCCTAAACATATTTCACCTTGGACTTCAGTTTCAGATTGCCTCGACTCAAGGATTTGATTCACAAATTAACAATACAACTTGATCCATGGGATAACTGCCTGAGGTTGGGATCTTCAATTAGGCTGGCACATGCCCATTATGCAAAGATGACTTAAGCCCATAATATTTGCCACTGATAAGAAAATGCGTTGCAGTTTCATGTTAGATTGAGAATATATCTGCCAATCTATTAGTAGGGCCTGACTTGGGACTTAACCAAACAACACAGAAACCTGGGCTGTGTGGGCCATGTGCTCTAGATAAACGGGTGAGGTGTGTCTCCACGAGGATAAGAATTGAATGTGGGAGACACTATTTCTGTACCATATTAATTAAATCTGTGATACATACTCTTCCAAAGTTTAATTATACTGTTGAAATAGAGTATGTTCACCAGAACGGAACCATGTCCATGAAAAAGATGTTGAGTATGTTCATCCAAAAGTATGAGTATGTTCCTTGAGAAGATATAATGTATCTATCCCTTGAAATTTGGTGTATATACTAGTAGTATATAATAAAGCTCTGCAAGTTTTATACACCACGTTTCCCTTAAACCAAATGGCAGCAGCAACCAATGGATCCCAGGAAACAAACAAACCTGCCTCCAGCATATGAAAATGTGTGCATTGGGGTGATTAAGCAAGAACGTGTGGGTTAACCGAAAACATGTGATGCACAAAGTATAGGTAGTGCTACTGCATTTGAAAATAAGCAATACTGATAGATTAACAGTGAATCAGACCATTGATTCTACCAAGTAGATAAAATGAGCGGATAATATCTATGAACAATTCGGTGTAACTACAGATAGGAGAATTCTCCAGCATGTCGACCGTTCAAAAATTAACCTGTACACATGTAAACACTCATATTCTCAAAACTCATGGCACGTGAATTACAGGAAAGGAATTGGATGTCTCAAACGTCACAAGTAAACTAAATAGCACTCAAATGACTACCGACCCTACAGGATGGTAGTATAAAAATAAAGTTATAACTGATGACTAAACAAAATGGAAGGACGATGACTCTTCTCTATGGAACTACCAGACAGATTCATCGCGACGCACCACCTTTTCCTCTCCTAGCCTTTACTCTTACAGTATATGGAGTCTCAGCAGCAATTTCACCAGTCTTCTGAGTACCATCATTCACAGACTGCTCGTTCGGGGTCTGACTGGTCTCTGCGGGAACACTTGTTCTGGGGACACTGCTGGTCTCTGTGGGCGAACTTGCTCTGGGAGCAGTGCTGGTTTCTGTGGATGCACTTGCTCTGGGAACATATCTTGTTTTCTGGGATTTGCTTGCACTAATCTGCCTCCTTAGGCGCAACATCTCACCCTTCGCTAAGGCCAGTTCCTCTTCGAGGTGCCTAGACCTCATTTCAAAAGTCTCCCGTTCTGTCTGAAGCCTTGTGATAAGATTCTGAGCATCCTCGCAGTTCTCTTGAGCCTCGGTTGTCAGTTTTGTTTGTTCATCGAGAGCTTTTGATAGCATTTCTTTCTCTGCTTCAAGAGTGGCATTCTTGGAATGAGTGCTCTCTAGCGCCTCAGAGAGTGACACTGCGCTCGTGTTCATCTCGTTTAGTGATCTGGTTGCTTCATCCAGGTCTGCTTCGAGTACTTTTCGTGCTTGAGAATCTGCATTCAATTGTTTGGCCAAAGCCTCAAGCTCCCTATTCAAAGTAGTCACAATTCTCCTTTCATCAACAAGCTCCTGTGTGGTGGACTCGAACTTCTTGTACACATCCAGCAATTCTTTCTTCAGGTTATCACGAGCCTCCACGGCAGAAGTAAGCTCATTAGAGGTAGCTTCAAGTTCTTCCTGACCCTTTTGAATCATCTCTTTAGCTGAGACCAGTTCATCTGATAGAGCTTTAGATACTGATTCAGCCTCTCCAAGCTTGTAAGTCAGACCTTCTCGCATTTCATTGAACTCGCTTTGGAGATTTGAAATCTGCAATACCATGTCCTTATTTGTTCTATTTGCTTCATCAAGGTCCTCAGAAAGTTTGGAAACCTCAGTTCGGGATTCACTTAGGGTCTCTTCAGTGGATTTAAGTAAATCTCTAAGGCTTTTCAGTGCCGCAACTTCATCGTCTAGCATAGCTTTGGTGGCATCCAATTCCTTGTTCAATCCGGCAATGACTTCATGGTCTTTGGTAGAGGCACTTAATGTAACAGAGAGCTTTTCTTCCAGCTGTTTGATTAGATCATCTTTCACAGACAGTAGTTCGGAATCGTGGTTCGCTCTTATCTCAGAAGAAGCCTTTAAGTCTGTACACTCTTTAATTAGCTCATTTATTTTTTCCTCGGCTTCCTTCTTTGCAGAGTTCAATACTTGAAGTTTCTCACTCAGTGAATCAATTGACGATATCTTAGAAGCAAGATCATTTTTAGCTGTATGAATCTCTTCCTCCAGTTGTTGTATTTTAGCATTTGCAAGTTCAAGATTCTCTTTCGTTTGATGAGAGAAACGGCGCAGGTTCTGGTACTCTGCTTCCTTTGAAGAAAGTGATGAGTTGAGTTCCTCGATGCTTTTCTCCTTGCTATCATTCTGTTGGCTGAGTAGACTTAATTTTTCCTGCAAATCATTCATTTCACCAACCTTTTCTGTCAGTTTGGCTTCAAGCACATCTTTATCATCCCCAGCTTTATCAATACTACTCTCTAATCTCCGTATTCCATCCTTGAGCTCCTCAGCCCGTGCCTTCTCCCTTCTGAATTCTTCGCTTAGTGATGTTACAGTCTGTTTTGTTGAAGCCAATTGATCTAGTAATGAAGCTACCTGCTCCTGGAACTTCATAGATTGCTTCTTCTGTGCTGCTTGTTGCTCTAATAACCTTTTTTCATAGGTCTCCCTCATCAATGAGATTGCTGCCTCATTTTCAGCCAATTTGACCTCCAACTGAACAAAGTAGTAATTTAGACATGTCAGATAAATGTCTTCATGGATCAATTTGAACATATAAAAAATGTCAAGGTATTAAAGTACTTATAATATTTTTTAATCTTATTGCATTCATATGCAAGTTACACTCTCTAAGTGAGTCAACTTAAGACATGTTTCCCTGAGAACATCATGGTGAGACATAAGACTCGCAAGGTTACAGTGAGTCCTATACTTTCAAGCCTAACGAAAATTAGTTTTAATTAGTCCAATATATGAAGCTCCCACACACCCTAATTTGAGAGATTTTTCTATAAAACACATGTCCATGCCCAGTAATCAAAGCACACACACACGCACACAAACACGTGTGTTTGTCTACGGGTATGCACATTGCTATTTGTGTCCATTTCTCTTTTTCCTTCCTTAGGATCTTGGCCAAGACTACACAAGAATATCAGCAAGTATTATGAAATATGTCAAAGTGAGTGAGGTTTGCAGATGATTTACAGATGAGACGACAGATTGCAGGGCCTTCTTTTCCTGTTGAGATGTACCATACAATCCAGCAAGAACTCCCGAGGCAATAACCGCAATTGCATTCAGAAGTCCGGCAAGTGGATTCCCTGGAGATTGTTTTTGCACCAGTGGTAAGGACGATTCGGGTTGAGGGGCTTCAAGTAGAGGAGTTTCTGACTGAGTCCCGCCAGTCTGAGGTTCATCAACCAAAGTCCCGCCATTCTGAGGTTCATCCACCTTTGGGGCATCCTTTGTCTCTACAGAGGAAAAACAACGTCAACTATTTGTCTATTTTTCCAAGCCACCATAAATGTGGAAAACAAATGAACTAGTAATCTAGTATCAGTATGTTTATGTTTACAAAATGTTCCCAAGTTAGTAGTATTCGTATGCAAGCACTAAATAGCACTCTAGTGTGATGACAGGCAGCACAAAGACAAGGGAATTCAAAATAACCTTATACTCCCTCCTCCGTTCCTAAATATTTGTCTTTTTAGAGATTTCAAATGGACTACCACATACGGATGTATATAGACATATTTTAGAGTGTAGATTCACTCATTTTGCTCCGTATGTAGTCACTTGTTGAAATCTCTAGAAAGACAAATATTTAGGAACGGAGGGAGTATTGGAGTAGAGTTTCCAGGCACACTAGAAAATATTTATAGCATGCAGCAAAAGCAAAGGAATGCATCATAGTAGACCCCGACAAGGTTACTACGAAAGTCATAAATGATACTGTAAATCCCATCTTCAATATGCCTATTTAAATGAGGGCGGGAATTCTGACCATCAAGCATGGCATCGTTAGGTTTACAGATGACTTTATTACGTCCAATCTTGAAAGTTTTGTAGCAATTCTGAGCATGACGATCTATCCTCGGGGCAAGGATCCCCTTTCTTCTAATAAACCCTTGGGGTAATGACATGCCATAAACTGCGGGAAAATTTAAAAAGTGACATCTGATCAAAATTCACTTGAGATAAGTCGTGAATAATGAGAGCATAGCTGTGTAACTCCAATATCAAATATATTCCACCAGAATATCAGGTTTAAGCATTCTCATGACAATTGACTGCACCAAGTACAGGATTTATGCCATGTCCAAACTGACTGATGCTTCAGGTATGAATCTTTCACAAAACCTAGACATAAACCTTTGAGGCGTGGCACATATCAAGGGTAAGATATAGTTTGAGGAGTTATCTATACTCTATAGTCAACACCACCTTTTTTGTAGAAGTACGATAATACGCAAAAAAAAAATCCATCTCAAATACAAATTTGTAGTTTTAAGCAATAATTCACAAAGTAATGGGTCTCGTGGGATTTTTCTAATGAAAAGTTGAAAATGCAACA